CCCCAAAACCCCAAAACCCCAAAACCCCAAAACCCCTTTTAAATTATTGAGAATTGAATAAGGTAATCATGATTATCAGCATGTAAGAGAAGCTATAAAAGCCTTAGGGGCTGCTATCCTCATCCAATAAATCTAGTCTGGTGGAATCTTGAACTTCCTTAGTCTCTTCATATCTGTACTTGACTTCAGGATTTTTCTCAGTGTGATCGATAAGTCTTTCTTCCTCATTCTTAAAGCTATTGTCACTAAGCACACTATAGTTAACTCCTTTTTCAGAGTAACGAGTGTAGAGGAAGAAGAAGATTCCAGCAGCAATCAGGAGGAGCCCAGCCAGTGGGTACCCAATAACTCTAAAGTAGAATACACCGTTATTATAAGCATTCACAAAGCCATATTTGTCTAAAAAGATTTGCTCTTTAATCTTCACTTCTGTTTCAACATTCATCAAAGGAATAAATCCAAATACCTTGTCCAGTTCAGGGAAAGCCAAATATTTTTCATGGACATCAAGCACTATAAAAAGAATTAGAGATCTATGTATTGGATAATTCTAAGGAGAAATTCTAATAGAAGATTAGAACTTCACAACATTGAAAGAAATACAACTAAATGACAAATCGTAGAGTCAACCAATCAGATTTTGAGTAGTAGATTATGTTATACTTACTTATCATTTCATTTCTCTTTGAATCGATCGTAAAGCCTGAGACTGGCTCAATAGAGAAGAAATTTTGAACTTCTCCCTGCATTGTTGAAGGAGATTTTCCATCAATTGTGGCACTTCCGTAATCGCTTTGTTTGACTCCTTTAAAGTAGCCGGCTGATGATCCAAGAGGAAGTTTGAACGTTTGTGAGATATTGAAAATACCATCATAATTGAAGAGTTTAGCTGCATTTTGCCCATAATTTTTCTGTATAGCATCATGATCTAAATCATATTTAAGAGTGTTGATATCACCAAATGATTCTTTCCCAGCATATTTGTATTGAATATCCTGAATTTTCTTGCTGTCAAAGTACTTTGGCTTGCTATCCTTTCCAAGATTTTTACCAAACTGGAGCCCATCAGTTCCTTCCAATCTAAAATTCTCTTGATATGGGTTCAGATTTCCATAGGTTATGTTAGTTCCGTTAAAGTAAGGAATGACGTTATTTATATATACTCCACCGTTGATTGATCTAGCTGTCTTTACTTTATCAGGGTGTCTGTTTCCAGTAAATAATTCCAAAGTCACATCCTCTATCAAAGATTTATTATAGTACACATCATTGATAGAAACATGAGTCTGAACAGATGGGTCGCTTCCTTTGCTGAACTCTCCTTCTCTCAGAATAGACAGAGTATCATCATCATAGCCATTAATAAAGTCAGTAGAGTCTTTTCTCATTACTACTCCTCCAAGTAGAGAATCCTGTGTCATGTATCTAAGCACACAGAGTAACTTCTCAGGATCAGTCTTATAAATATTAGTGTAATTCACAAGATTGACTCCTTGATCAACATCAACTACAAAATTTATTGCATTCTTATAATCTCCAAGGCTATGATCTCCACTAGTAAGGATATTATACACTTCTTCGCTTAAAGGTTCCTTCTGGTCACACTTATTCTTAGCAAAGTAGGAATATTCCATTGCTACTTCTCTGCTATAGTTCCAATCTTTTACGGTGCTAACTTCTTGAAGGAAGTCAACAACTCCTGAGTATTTAATGATCCTTGAGGTAATGCCAGTACTCAAAAATTGTCTATGGCCTAGCTCTTCCTTGCTGCATGGGCTATTAGAGCATTTGAGTTGCTTAGAGATATCAGTAATGATTTTATTCGCATAATTTCCATAATCTTTTGAAGATTTCGTGCTAAACACTTTACTCAGTTCATCTGTGGTTAGACCAGTTGTATCAGCTAGATGTTGATAAAGAGGATGATTTGGTCCATGCATGAAGGCTTTCGCCCAAAGTGTTGTTCCTAAGTAGCTATCAAAAGGAACTTTTTCACAAGCTTGTTCAGCTTTTGCTTTATCAGTACCCACAGAGACAAAATCTGTACATTTCTTCTTATCCTTGATGAGTGCAGCTCCAATGTACCTTGCAAAGAGTTCATAATAGAGGAATTCTCCCAGAAGCTCCTCAGATTTCTTTATTGTATGAGTAACAAGATTGGCAAAGGCTTTGTGCTGTTTAGTGCCTTTCTTTTCCTCATAATTTCCAAGTTTAGGAATGACATAATTAATCAGATAGTCATAGATTGCATCACATTGCTTCTCAGAGACAAGCTTAAACTTGATCATAATATTATCATAACTTTTGGTCAGATAAGAACTGAAGAACAAATATAGATTGGTTGGATTAAAGATCGAAGCTGAGTCCTCAAATGAAGCAATTGAAGCAAGCCTCAAAGCCTGAGTCAAGTTTAACGCCTCTGATGTAATGTGGCTTAAGTTTGAAGCATAAGAGAATTCTGGCCTTGCTCCAAATAATGTTTTATCTAGATCATATAGAGACTCAACAGCCTTAACCTTTGGTGAGATAAAGGTATCCGGAAGATTGGTCACATTCTGGCTTGACCACTGAATAGCGAACATAGTCGTGTTGTCACAGAACTTTCTGCAGTTATACTGAAGAGCATAGCTGACCTGAGTAGCTGAATATAGTGCTTTTAAGAATGATTTAGGTCCGACTATCTGATCCATGTGCGAGTCTTTTAGTTTAAAGTGATTTTGTAGGGTTTGGTAAACTTCTGAAGTAGATCCTCCTTCTATAGCTTTAATCCACTTTGAAAGACTCTTAATTGATCCAAATCCCATTTCATCATCGACAAAGATAGAGCCTGAATTCTTAATGCCAGGAAGGACACTTTTCATTACAATATCTTTATCATTCATGGCTGTATAGAAAGCGTTCATCGAGAAGACATAAGGAACAAGATGTTCGATCATTTGCTCAGCTGAGGTTTTCAGCAAGGAGTAGATCTCCTTAAAGTTTTCCTTATCAGATAACAAGTAATTAGTAGATAGAGCTCCAAGATTAATAAGGTAGCCTGCTTCTTCATTTACTTCCTTCTTTGTTTCTTTTAAAGTTTTATTTTGCTCAAAAGTAATAGTATCTTCCTAAAGGGTTAGAATAGATTGTTACTTACAATAACGCTATAGCTAATATTCTCATATTTCTTTTCAACTTTAAAAGAGTGTTCTCCAGCTGTCTGCACAGCTAGGAGGTCTTCCACATTTTTACTAGGATACCCGAATACTTTATACTTCTCAGTGGAATCGATGTTATAGTTCCCAGGAGTATGTCCCCAGTACTCAATCTCGCTTCTGAAGACAAGATTAGCTCACTGTAAGGATTGACAAGAAGGGAGAAAATTAGTGAGGGATGGAAATTGTACTTAGTTAAGCGATGGCCCTTTAGGGGAAATTTCAAGGGATATTTAACTATTTTTCAGAAATTTATATCGATATGCATTGATTATCCATCATGATTACTTCATCTAAGCTTATAATGGTCGTAATGGTATCAAAAAAGAAAATGTGGGCTCAAGGACTATTTTACTATGCCTAATTAGAGTGAGAGTAACTTTATAGTTTATATAAGCTAAAATCTGTCTTGAGACTTACTCCTTTAATAAGATCTTTGCATCAATCTTCTTATCAAGTCCTGCATTCACAGCTATTGGTACAAGGATAGCGGTTAACAGAGCGATTATACCTCCAATCAGGCAGCTCACAAACAAGCAGTGGTAGATCTATGATTAGTTAAAACAATTTCAAGGACTTACATTGTCTTTGCCTTTTCTTTTATAACGAACAGGAAGATCTGAGTCCAAATCAGAGTTCATTTCTTATTTTATATATAATCAACAAGGATGCAGCGAAAGGGGTTTTGGGGTTTTGGGGTTTTGGGGTTTTGGGG